CTCTTTCCAAGTATTTTCCTACAATGATACTGGTCTGTGGGTCACAGACCTGCATTTGCTCTCCTGTAATGGCACAAGACATGACCCTTTTTCTGCCTGATTCCAGTCCTGCAGCCACAGGACAAGTTTGGCATCATGAAGTAAAGGACAGGAAGGGACTGCACAACCTTTTAAAATCCCTGGTAGTTAAGAAGCAGATTTTGCCTTTGGAAGGATGTTGGAAGTACCCACTCCATATTCCCTTTAAAGAAATGTCAACTCTGCATCAAACTGTTTTCCAACATTTTCCCCCCAATTACAGAGCAAGGTCCAAAATCCACAAGATTTAAGTACCACAGGAAGAGAGCAGAAAGGATCCCAAGAAGCACCAGAGACCTCTGGCATTCTTATAAACTGAAATACAACCAACTCCTGTGCCCTAATACTCTGCACAGAGGCAGAATACAATTTGAAACAGTCTGTAGTATGTTTGAGCTAAGCACAAGGTAACTGGCTTAATCCATATCAGTGAAAATCCAGACATTGCTCCCTTGCAATTGCAGTCAATCCACAGGAACCAGAACACAGAAATAATGTGTTGTAGAGGTTGTAGGGTTTACATTGCACTAGCAAATTGTGATAAGGACATTTATTTGATCATTTAGCATGTCTCAGCTGATCAGCAGAAGTCTTTGCAGCCAGAATGACTTAACTATGAACAACCACTTGGACTCCAACTCTCTGGAGTTCAGCTAAACTTCGCTGGGAACAAAGCAAATGTGCTGGCTTCCAAATAAAGCCTGTGTGCAAGTTTCAAATGAAGCAAACCACCTGATTTGTAAGGACCATACCTATAGATGGGAATACTTGGTTTAGGTGTAGGCACTATCAGTAATGTTCCTACATTAAACTAAGGGACAGCCTAACACTGGATTATTCATCAAGAGCACAAATCTTGAACCTGATGTTCAGTTCTTCTTCCAGCCATTTTGAGGTGATAACTTCAAAGACACATTCCACCCCAGTATCTGTTACAGACTGGGTAACACAGGTTTGTTGATGCTTACAGCTGCCTCTGATTTTGACACACAGAGGCTGACATATTTGTCTCACTGCTGACAGATTAACTAGGTCCACTTAAATTACCAATGCAACAGAAAAATCCTTGGTAAACTAAGAATCTCAGCAGAAAATTGGTGAGAACCCTTTCAGATGTTCTTCCAGATGACAAAAGGCAAGAATTGTGAAGCCAGAGATGTAGAAAACTGAAAGACCCAACACTCCTAGCTCAGCTGGAGCTGAAGTCTATGTGTAGTTCCACTTCAGACTACACTGAGAAGTTCAACACAGCTGGAAAATCCATCTTGCCAGTTAGATTGCAGTGCCAAAACACACATCTACCAGCTAGTTTCCAATGCAGACTTTTGTGTGACCCAAGTAAAATGTCATGAGCCAACAGCAGATATCAGTGATCACTCCTGACACTCAAACCTAAAGAAGCAATGCTGTTTCTGTTGAGAAGAAAAGCTGCATGAATTCATCACTGTAGCCTAAGTTTTCTGTAATGTACCACAGCTCTGCTGAAGAAAATGGGGGTTTTATAGCCACCGATGCTGGACCACTCCTTTTGAAGTGCTATCTTGCTTTTATAAAGCATTTAATTTATGGAAGTAGAAAGGATTCCCACAACAACAACAGATCATGCAACTTAGTTCCCGAGAGGTCTTTTGTAGGTTATCCCATTTACACATCCAATCTTGTCATTACATGAACACTGCAAGTTTTCCAATAGAGGTAGATACCAATGTACAATATTAAGCCTAGCAACATCAGGCTTACTTCTCTTCATTACTCAGAAACCTATTTTTGCCAAGCTCTGTTTCAGCATTTCTCCACCTCTTCAACATACATACTCCACAACCACACAAACCACATGGAGCACATTAGGGTAGACTCAAATTGCCTGCAACTTTTCAGTACACCTGGCAGCTGTTTAGCAACTCTGGTGCAAACTCAAACTGCCACCTTACCACAAATAAATGAAATTAGCAATGCATGTTTGGAATAACATCATTAATCCAGGCATATGTCCTATGCAACATGTAGACACGGCAACAAACAGCCAGACAAGACAGAACAAAGATTAAGAAGCCATTTTTTATCTAGTCAGCAAACAAATGGTGAGGATTAGAGGTCACTGCAATGCTCTGCCACCATGCCATTCAGACTTGTGCACACTTAGTAGCATGTTAGTTATCTCAAGTTTTCCCAATTCCAGACAAAAAATAAAAACACACAGGAGGGATCAAGTAACAGAGATTCCCAAATACACCTCAGATCTTTTATTACAGCTTTCTCCAGTCTCTTGCTAGGGAAACGTTCACTCTTACAATTATAAAATAGCTTATTTAGCCTGCAGAATCAGTGGACATCCAAGGATGGGCAGGAGGTGCAAAGCAATTTGCACATGCCTTCTGATCTGGCCTGGGGTTCGTGCTTTGCTCTTAGCAGAGTTCCAACACTGGGCTAGGATCTTCTCTTCTTGTTCAGACCAACAATCACAACAACCACCAGCACAGTTAAAGCACAGGATCCACACACAGCCATGGTCTGTCTTTGCAGAAGACTCCCCATACATGACACTTCCCCCACCACCGCAGAAATCCTGAATGGCCTCCAGCCCTACAGGACTGCAATTCCACCTCAGTGTGCAATTCAGATACTTTCTCTTAAGAGAAAGTTAAGCTATAGGGCAACATCTGAAAACACTGA